ACCAAAAGAATATATTTATTAAATGGAGAAAAAATTATTTAGGTTAAAAACTGCTTTGCTTTAAAAAGGTTTGTCTTAAAATAGCCAAAATAATGCCTGAACATATAAAATTACTAAATTTATGTAAAAATAAACGTTAACTTTCCAAGGGAAGCGACTGAGAGTGTACTGTTCAGCACATCAGAAGCACATAGAAGACGCTCAATATTTATTGTGTAAATTAACACATAGACTGCAGTGCACTATATTCAGTGTTGGGATTCAGAGAATTAATTTTCAGCATCAATTCTGCTTGGTAATTTTATTTATTCTTTTAAAATGAAACATTCTTCAGAATTTTCAATCCACTTAGCAAAAACCAGTTACCAATCCCGCACCGCGCCCCCCCCCCCAAAACCTGGTAAACCAGGACACACAACAGATGGTTTGTATTTTACTAATGGTAATTACTATGCTCTTAATATTTCTTCAATGATATTCAAGTCACCATTGTGAGGAACTTTCTTATTTGAGGCTCTACTACAGGTATTTATAAGGTCTTAATATATTTTCTATCAAAGTCCAACTTTAAGAAAGAAGTCGTGTATATTAAACATTTACTGCACGTGCACTGTGTCTCCAGCGCTGTCTTACGCATCTACTCGTTTTTGTGAACACAAAACGGACCAGAGGAAGACAGACTCAGAACAAGCGCAGAAAGTTATCATTAAAGACATAGGCCTTTTAAAGCAGATGACTAGAAAACAGAGCAGAAATTACTATCATTTAACGTGCAACATACAGACAGGGTACTCTAGGCTTAGAAGAGTTAGGAGTCGCAGACCCGTAGTCCGGTGTAAACAGACCCAAATCTTCACAATTTCTCTTTGCCAGACAACGTTAGGCGTCCCTAAATGAGACCACCCTAATTACAAAGAAAACAGGAACTCAATGTGGATTCACATTTTAAAAACAAACAGGCTCCTTCGTATCAAACTGTGAGGGAAGCAGTTACGAGAAGGCCTATGGTGCCCACGGAGCCGGAGAAGCGATGCTATAGCACTGAAGCCGTGGATGGTGCGAGCTTGCAAGGGGAGGAGACCAGCCATCGCTGGGGTCGCGCCCAGAAACAAAGGCGCGAA